ACATTTTTATGAAAATACTTACTGGTTATGTTAAAATGGTAGGAGTGATGTAATGAATGGTTGTTCAGACCGGTGTTGCTTTCAAAATTTTATTAAACCTTGAATACATTTTAAGATTTGTAAAGAAAATAATAGGAAAGGAGATAGCTACAAAAGTGCAAAGTTATAGCTGTAGACAGATTTTTATGGCCAAGTTTATAGAATGCTAATCATTGTTAATAAAATTGTATCTGTGGCAAATAAGAATTTCAAGAAGGACTATGAATGGGAAATTTTATAATTGCAGTTTGTCAAGTGTATTTTATTTTGGTATTTCCTGTGTATTACCTTTAATTTCACAATGATCCAGCAAGGTAAATGATTATCAGACCCACTTTATGAAGGAACCAAAGCTTATAGCTTCCATAACTGAGTCATCCAACTAGTGTGTGACTGATTGTACCATCCAACAGGCATTGTACTATTTTGCTTATTACATGCCAGACTGGATTCATAGTCACCAGATAGATAACGGACTAACACCATTAAGGGTTACAAATTATCTAAAATTATGGTCAAAGTAGGTACCTCTAAAGATGATATATTTTCTTCATGTTGTACATATAACTAGTATATAAATGAGCCAAGCTCTGATCCTAGGGCTGCATAATTCTAAAAAACATTATTTTTCCTCTTTTTCTAGAGGTGAAAGATCATTAAGATCCCCCTGAGTCATCAATAGTAAAAATTATATTGAGCATTATTTCTGTATGTTACATTTCAAAAGATGGTATCTTATGTATGGTATATATCATGTTACAGTTAATCAGAATATTGAGTAACTAGAAAGCCACGTAGCTATTTCTTCCTTGTAATTTAATCATTCATGAACTACCCATACTAGGTTTTTAATTCCTCCTCGATTTCTCCATATACCAATGTCTTATTATTTCCTCTTTAATTAACTTTTATTGCTGTATAATGAGCAGAATCTTCTATGTGGAACAGTATTACTTTTAACTTTGAAACTATCATCTTAGTTTGAAGCATATATGACAAAGGTTTTAAAATACACATTTTTGATCTGTTGTTGAATATATTTGGAGGGGGCATTATGGCTGTGTTACACGTACACATTGTATTAAAGTGGATTTAAAAAAAAATAAAGTGGATTTAAGATTTTGGAAAATATGCACTAAATTTAGAAAGATTCATATGAAGCAATGAACAATACGTTGACCGAGCCTATAGGAAGATAGTAATAATTAATAGTAATAAACTAAGTTTCTTCCTAATTTTTTGTTATCAGTATTGGAAAATGTTAGTTTTATGACAGTGGAATGTTAGAGGCGCAAACTGTGGTCCATTAACCAAACCCATATTATTTTTGTATGGCATGTAAGCTGTGACAACATTCTTTAAGGTTGATTTACGGGCAAATTGAAATATGTATAGCTGCAAAGTTTAAAGTATTTGCTCTCTAGCCTTTTGCAGAAAAAAATAATAGTTGAACCCCTCCCTTAACTGCTCCTTTCTGTATGGCTAGAAAAAGTGAATAGTAAAATAGTTTAATAAGGTAGATGCTATCTGTGTATGCTACAGTATGGACACAAAATAAGTAATTAGCCTAATAAAAATGTCCATTTTATAATGTAGAACTCTTAAGTACTATGTAGAATATTTGTGGAAGTAATGGCATAGTTAAGACCTCAATACACTTTTGATTCTTTAATAAGGTCTTAAATAAATTATCAGTTGCTTTAAAAGAATGTATATCCATAAAGTAAACATATTGTCCTGTTATCCTAGATAGTAACTGGATATCTTGAAGTTTTAAGCTCTTTGTTCCTTCTCATACTTAGCTTATCAAAGTAGGTGTCCTTGTAAATGTGAACCACTATAGATATTTTTAAAGATCATTATCTGTCCTGTTCATCTTATCCTATACATCCATCTAGCTAACTTTGAGTGTCTCACTAAGTTGCCCAGTCTGCTTGAACTTGAAATCCTCCCATCAACCTTCAGAGTGCTGGGATTAAAGGGGAGCACCATATTTGCTTAAACATTTGTATAAAGAATAAATTTACTTGTCTGTTGGTATACTTACTGTCACAGTACTCTATTATAGTAGTACAAACTGAAGAGCAGGTGTGTAGACAAGTAAATGAAGCATGTATATTTCACCAGTTTTTAAAATATCCCTGTACTTCAAAGTATGCTATAGTGTCTGTCTTTGAAGATTTTGATCATCTCCATTCCTTTAGTGGGTAAAGTTTCTGAAAGGAAAAACATAAAAAGTTCTTTTTAAAGAAATTTATGGTAGTAAATAACATTGCAGTGAAGAATAAATACAATAATGTTGTCTCCAGCTCCATGGATAACCCATATTAATCTTGCTTTGTAGATTTTCAAAGTTCTGTATGGCTTGTGCTTTACCCAATCCCGATCCATGCATTGTAGCCAAAAGTATCTCTTGATGCTCCTTCATCTTTATATATTCATTTTTTTCTTCTCCTTGTAAAGTAAGTGAATGTGAATTCTGTTTGATTCTTGATTATACACACAGTTATAATCATGTGACCTTATTTTGTGTAATTTTATTGGATAATATTTTAAAGTAATATTTGGTAGGCATGGTGATACAGTACTGTACATGCCTGTAATCCCAGCACTTTGGAGGCTAAAACAGAAGGACTAGGAGTTGAAGTCCAGCCTGGGCTACATAGTAAGTTCACAGACAGTCTGGACCACATAGCAAGACCCTGACTCAAAGAAAGCAAACAAAATCACTTTTTCTTAATTCTGTTCTAGTTCATATTCATTTTGTGTAAAGTACACATCTTTTATAACTATGTATCTAGATTCAATATTGTAGTTTTAAGGCAGCTGTTTAGTTCTCATCATTCTGAGTTCATAAATCCATTGAAACATTTTTTATATACCATTCTCTATTATAGGTTTTCTTGACATTTCTAAGCATGATGATGAGCAACTGCACTCAAATAAATAACTGAATAACAGATGGCCTACTGTTACCTTAACCATCTCAAAAATTCTGGTAGTTCTTTCATCTAAGTAATGATGACTAAAAGATTAACTCTGCTTTGTAAAACTTTGCATTACATTTGCTAATTTGATTATTAAAGTAACAGCCAGTCTCATATTGGGAAGTAAAATATGCTGATCAGATGAAAACCTTAGGATTTCCAATGCTACTGAAGAATCTTTTGGTAATAACTCCTTTTAACAACTACTTTTAAAGAAATTTTTATAAGTATTTTAGAAACAAACTTTATATTTCAAAAGTACATGAAAAACATTCTTTGTACTAGACTGTACTTTCTAATAGACTATAAGCTCATGAGCACAGAAAATTTTGCTTTCAGTGCTGTACTTCCAATTTCTAATATACTACGTGGCATATAGTAGATCCTTAATATTTGTTGAGCAAAAAAATTTAAAGATATTTACAACAGTATTATTTCAAGTATATTTTTTAAACTGGCTAGAGAATAACAAAACAATAAAAGATTGAAATGGGATGTAAATCAGTGGTAGATGGTTTGTGTAGCGTGCATGGTACCCCGGGTTCTCTCACCAGCACCCCACCTCACTCACAGATAGACTCTTACATGTTCATCAATAAGGAGTTGATTAAATTATAGAATAACCATACAATAGAATGCTAGTTGATGAAAAAATTTACTAGTTTTTCCATGTGTACTAATACTGACACAATGCTTTTGTTTCATGAAAAAAAAACAAGTATAATAATGTAATATGTTTATATAATATGATGGTTTTAATATTTTGAATTGCAAAACTACCCACCCATACATAGGAATTTCTAACCATTTAGTTTTCTGAGGACCTTAAGTGGCTTTTGTTTATAGGTGATATGAATGTTTATGTGTTTACTTTATTAATATCCTAAAAATTCTACTGTTGCAAACACGTAAGTTTCATAAATTTATCTTGTTAGAAATTGACACTGAAAATTTTACATTTAATTTAGAATAATAATGAAAACACTATATGTTAACATATTTTTATGACAAATCTTTTTCAAAACTATGATTTATTAAAGAGTGTAGCATTGTTTTCCATTTTGCAGATACCAATGTCTAGCAAAGTAAAATGTAACTTAATTCTTCTCTACTTCTGCATTCACTATGTTGTGATGTTGTTTTGGTTGAAAATCCAGGTTCATATGATAGTCAAAATAGGCAAACTATTTTAATTACCTTTTCAGGTAATTGTAGATATTTTTCTTTGATACTACATCAAATCTGTACGAGGAGTTTCTTAACTGAAACTTTGTCAGTGAACTTCTAGTACTGTCTCATAAAGTTCTTTGGTTTATTTTGGTCTTTGAATAGACCTTTTACCCATGCCTGATTGTCTAATTTCAAGTATTGGTTATTTTAAAAGTACGTATTCTTTTGTTCACTGGCTTACCAGCACCTTCCAGTTGTCATATTTCATATGCTGTATTAAAAAGCCCCATTAATTAAAATCATACCAGTCTTAATTGGAAAAGTCTTTAGGTACTGTAAACCTATTAAGGTTGCAATGATGGTATTTTCGTAAACTTTTAATTTTTCCTCATTAGAAGCTGGACTTTTATCATCCCATTTGGAAGTTTGAGTTTATCATTGAATTTTTGAGTTGATAAATTTATTCATTTACTTATTGAGAGAATAAAACACCTAAGACTAGTTTGCATTTGACCATTTGAAAACGTTACTTTAAAAATGTAATTAATTCACTCTTATTACACTGCCATTTATAAAACTAACTATAAAAAGAATTGTGAAATTCATAAATATTAAAAAACTAGAAAGCATCAAAATATTAAATATTTTGGTTTAAAAAGGGTGACTTTTTCATAATGAATAAATTTTATTGTATTTGTTATATAGTTAAGATGTCAGAGTATTTTATTTATAGAATTACTTATATAGAATCAAATGAATGTGGAATTTTAAAAAAATAGTTATTTTCTCTAAATTTCTTGGTAGGATTTAGGTCCTGAATATGAAGATATATTTAACACCTCATTGCAGTGGATTTTAGAAAATGGGAAAAATGTTGGAATAAGGTAATGGCTTTGATTTGGACTTTTGACTATTTTGTATTGTAAGACATGATTTCTGACTCTACCTCAATTATTTTTAAATAGGTGTGTTGGTTTTGGCCATCAAGAAGAACTGAGAAATATAACTGATGTGCAGTTTTTACAATCCACAAGGCCACAGATGTCCTTTTGGTGTCGTTTTCGACGTGCTTTTATTACTGTCACCCACAGATTATTATTATTATGCTTAGGTAAGTTGTTAGGATGAGAAAAGTGACATATTGTGTTCTAGAAGTTTTATGTGTTTATATTTTATTAAATACCAGAGCTGAGAATCTACTTCTCACTTCTGTGATGGAATATAAACATCTAAAGTCTTCACTAAAGTTGAATGTCTGTTATAATTTCAATATTAGATTAAGAGCTTAGAAAACAGTAATATAAAGAAACGTAGAAGTAAAACTTCGTTATAAGAACATCATGGAAAGAGCAAGTATATTTAGTGTATATACAGAAAACTACTTTGGAGGCCAGGCGTGGTGGCACCTGCTTATAATCCCCACACCCAGGAGGCTAAGGCAGATTTCCATGAGTTAGAGGCCAGTCTTGAAGACATAGTGAAAGCCTGTCTCAAAAAACAAGAAAAGAAGTCTACAGTACTTGGGAAAAATTGAACAAGGAACCTTATTTTTTAAATAAAAAAATTATACATTAAACAGTAAAATTACTTGTAATCAGTATCATTTGTGAGAATGAAAATTTTACTCATTTTTAGATTTTATAAATTTTTGAAGATTATAATTTAAATGTTTATTGCTTTTTTCTTGTGTAACATTTAAAAGTATTCAATTTACACAGAAGTAAGATTGTAGTGCTTTAGTTTAATAAAATTCATTTTTTTTTTTTGATTTATGTTTTTTGGTGCCAGGGATCAAACTTAGTAGAACCTCACTTTTGTCAGGCAGATTCTTATGCTGCTGAGCTATATCCCCAATCCCATCAAATTCACTTTTCTAGTAGTTTAATACTATGCAGAAAAAACTCTGAAATAGATTTTAAGTGTTCAGTTGCCTATGTAAGGAAGGATTTTTTTCCTAGAGAGAAGTGAAAGTCTGGAAGATACTGAATAATACATTTTTATGTAATTTTATTATGTAGTTAATTCAACCCTATGTCTTGTCCATTATTCCATCAGGGCAATTAAGATAGTCATTATAAAAACTGCAATGTTATTGAATGCCACTGACCCAGTTTTTTAAAATACAGTGATATAAATTTGCAGGTGTAGTGATGGTTTGTGTTGTTCTGCGTTACATGAAATATCGTTGGACAAAAGAAGAGGAGGAAACAAGGCAGATGTATGATATGGTAGTAAAGATTATAGGTATGGTATTTATAAAACATCTATACCATTTTTAGAACAGTCATTATATTGTGAACATCAACATGGTGTGAAGTAATTGATTAATTAGTGAAATTGTTTGATTTATTTTCAGATGTTTTACGAAGTCATAATGAAACCTGCCAGGAAAATAAAGATTTACAACCTTATATGCCTATTCCACATGTACGAGACTCCTTAATACAGCCTCATGACAGGTGTGTTCAAACATTGTGAATTGAAGTAAATTTGAAGGTTGTCTTCTGTAATGTTGAAAATTATATTGAACCAGCACGGCGGTGCATGCCTAAAATCCCAGCACTTGGGAGGTTGAGGCAGGAAAATGAACATGAGTTCTGGCCGCCTGAACTGCAGAGTGAGACCCTATCACAAAACAAAACAAGAAAATTACATTGAAAGGGATGACTACAGACTTTTGACATTTTCATTTCTTTCTAAATTTTCTTCAAGTTCCCCCTGATTTTGAATGGCATAATAGACAACTGAGTTTCTAAATCACTCTCATTCTTACACTCCTTGAATTTTTATTGTCAATCTTAATTTTATTTCCTTTAATTTCACCTTGATAAAGCAACAGTAGCCAGTGCTGTTTTACTAAGGTTTTTAAATACTTACGTTATTAATGAAGCTTTTAAAATAAAAACTAAAAAAAAAAACTTTTAAATTGAATGATGCCATATCCCAAAGCAGGATTCTTAACTCTAGCGACACATCACGTTCACCAGTGGAACTCATAGATTTAGAAAACTAAAGCAACATGCTCATACTTCACCTCTGGTAATTCAAATTTAGTAAATCTTGAGGTGAGATGCAGGTATCTAAATGTTTTAATAAACTCCAGGAGTAGTAATAAGAACAGCCGGAATTAATTTTAGCAGTTATATCACTTACTGTCATTTCAAGAAAATAAGAAGTCAAGATGTCAGTAAAATTGTCATTTTGTTTACATTACAGGAAAAAAATGAAGAAAGTCTGGGATAGAGCTGTTGATTTCCTTGCTGCCAATGAGTCTAGAGTTCGCACAGAAACACGAAGAATAGGTGGTGCAGATTTTCTAGTTTGGAGGTGGATCCAGCCCTCAGCGTCCTGTGATAAAATATTAGTAATACCTTCTAAAGTATGGCAAGGCCAAGGTATGTGTATTTAAGGCCTCCCCCGACCAGTCAGAACAACAGTACATGATCGAGTGAAACAGTACATTCAAAAGTGTGTGAAGGCAAAGTTCTCCTTACACTTACAATCCTCTAGAAGTCAGTGTTAGCTTCTTTTGTATCCTTTTATACTTTTTCCTTGCTAATGCAAACATGAATGGTTTGTCTTTACTATAATAAAGACAGATATTACTTTGATCTTGTCCATTTCATTTAACAAAGCAACTTAGCTTAGAGCTAATGTATTTTTTTGTATAATTTTCCCATGCAAATAAGGCAGTAGTTTTTATATGTATATGTAACATTTATACACATATATGTGTGGAAACATAACTTTTTAAACCTCTAGGTTTTGCTTGACTCCTTTTCTTAGTAAGATGCTTTTTCTTGCATACCTTCCTGCAAAATATCTCTTGTGTGTATCTTTCCATAGCTTTCTTAATATTTGCATAGTTTCATAAACAGATACTTATAATTGGGTTTTTAAAGATTAACTACCTGTGTATCCAAACTGCTACTACTACACAGGAAAGCAGAAAATAGTATATAAAACAATTATGAGTAGTCCGATTATTTATTTTCTACAAAAACATTTTTTATGTGTTTGCTAAACATAGTCATAGTAAAAGGAAATAGACTGTTTTGAAATTGCAATTTAAAAAATCCATTCCCTTTTGTCTCCAATTTCATGTTTTAAAAGCTTGAATAATAAGCTTCTATATTTATCATGGCATTAAAATTATGTTTTGGTGTTGCCAAAAATTATACTGACAAACTTATTTCCTTGAAAATATGCATGCCAAAGTAGCCTGTGAAATTGAAAACAGGTAATGCCTTAACTTACTTTGCCTCTTACCAGTGTTTGACAGTTGATCTCCTCTTGTCTTTCTACTTTAGGGATACCACATTTTTCCTCTTACTTTTGATCTTTTCGATGTTTTCTTTTAGCTTTTCCTTTTTTCTTTGACCTCTAGATCTTGGAGTTTCTTAAGGTTATCTCATCCTACTTTCTCTTAAGTCATTTCAGGCTGTGACTTACCTTTCAGTAAGTCTCATGTTAATGGTTTTCAGATTTTTGTACTTCATCATGTACTCAGATTTTTTTTCTATAGTAGTGGCACCACAAATTCAACAACTCAATGTCATCCCTTTCCAAAGTGAGCTGTAATTCCTAATCTAGCTAATAGTACTATTCTTTAGTTAATAGTACCATCTGTTTCATGATAAACCTTGGAGTCATCTTTACTCTCTCCCTTATTCATCTTTGTCCAATTTTTCAGTAGGTCTTGTCAGATTTGCTCCCTAATATGTCCTGATTCCATCCACTTTACATGTGTACTTTCAGCATGCCTTGTCTACATTTGTATTTTCTCCGTCTTCGATAACTAGAATAACTTACGTAACTGGTTTTCTTCAGTTAATTTTCTATCTCTCTAGTTGGTTCTCTGCATAACAGTCTTTTTTAAAATTATAATTTTTTTTTTTTTTTGGTCTTTTTCGTTTTTATCGGTACCAGGGATTGAACTCACGACTGCCTGCTTGCAAAGCAGGCGCTTATGCCGCTGAGCTAAATCCCCAGCCCCCTTAAAATTATAATTTTAAAAGGCGAGTCTTGTCATAGTTCTCTACTTAAAACACTTAAGTAGCTATTTCTTTTACAATTATGTGAATTGCTTTAATGTAGCTTGTGAAGTACTGAATAATCTGACATTTCTCTTTCCATCTCTTTTTTATCTTTTTATTCTTCCTACTTGATCCACATTGGTTAACTTTTAGATACCTGAATATACCAAGGTCCTTCTTGTCATAGGGGCTATAGATATACACAAGTATCATCACTGCTTGAAATGTCCTTTACAGTTTTTCATACTAATTCATACTTATTTTTCATTTCTCAGCATAAATTTTTCTTGGGCAAATCTTACATGATACTATCAGAAATTACTTTTACAGCTTTTTGCACTATTCTTTTTTTAGGATTTTAATACAGTTGTAGTGTCTTGGGCAATAGCACTTAATCACCTGCTTGTCTGACTAAGTTGTAAGCTGTATGATAGAAATGACTTAATTAACCTTAACATCTAACACAGGGGTCTGGCTCATAGTAAATGTATGTAGTGTTGCTGGGTGTGGTGGCATATGCCTGTAATTCTGGCATTCTGGGAGGTAGGAGGATCAAATATTCAGGCCCAGCCTGGGCAACTTAGTGAAACTCTGTCTCAAATACATTTTTTAAATGGAGAGAAGGGCCTGAGATACAGCTCTGTTCAAGACCCAGTGTTTTGTCCCTAATCTCAAAAAAGAAAGTGTGTAATAAATATATTTTGAATGAACTGAGTGACTGTCTTTCATCAAAATGGAACAGTTGCAAATAGTAAATCTTATTTTTTTATAGCATTTCATTTAGATAGAAGAAATTCACCACCAAACAGTTTGACACCATGTTTAAAGATACGTAATATGTTTGATCCAGTTATGTAAGTATTATAATTAGACATAAAATAATTTTTATTTGGGCTGTTGGGCTAAAATGCATATATTCTTATAATGCTGTGGCTGTAATTGTAATTGTGTTCCTTTTGAATTTTTTTTGTTTAATTCCAAGCAAAAGTTTGTCCAGAAGACACATATGCAAAAAGATTTATAAAACTTTTATAAATCTTCATATTTACTATGAATCCTTATAACAGATAAAGCCTTAAAGTAGATTAATGACATGCAGTAACAAGCAATACATTAGTAAATGTATAATTCATTTTAAACATGATTCATTGTTTTTGTCTCAGTATACAATAGAAGTAAAAATATGTTCCTAAAACTAGAAATTCCATTTGACCTAGCTATTTCCCTTTTGGGTATCTTAGGTATCATAATACAATGATGAATCAAGTCTTGGAAGCAACCTATATGTCCATGAACAGATAAATGGATAAGAAAAGGTGCTATTTATACACGGTAGAGTAACTAGTCCATCATAAAGAAAGATAAACTTGAGCCATTTGTAGGTAAATGGATGTACCTAGAGATTGTAATGTTAAGTGAATGGATACACAAGCTTAAATATCATGCAGTTTCTCTTATGTGAAACATCCAATTTATAAGAGCAAGATAAAAAATAATAGGAAGCAAGAAAATAGATCTTCCTTAAATGTGACGGGGATCTAGAGATAAAGGAATAGGGTAGAAGGGAAGGAAAAAGGGATGAAAAAAGGAATTAAGATGTGTTGTGTACATGAACAAACTCTACACAAGAGGCATAATCATTATGTACTACAGACATGTACTAATAAAAAATAAATACATATATACAACCAGCCATGGCTTCTTAAAAAAAATGCCAGTTTCTAATTAGAAGATGTCCTACAAAGATGTAATCACCCTCCTCTCTATTGGTCCTAACATTGCTTGTTAATGTAATATGTGATAGATATTTCTGCCTTTCAAAATTATTGCAGCTAGAGAATGGTGCAGTCAAGAGCAACAACCTTAGAATCTGTATTTCACATCAGATCGTAAAATAGTTTTGGGAATTAGCTGTCTCCTTATATAACAGCTGAAGCCCTTAAAAAAAAAAAAAAAAAAAAACACCAGTAGAAATTTCATGCACATGAAACAGGCTTAGATCTCATCTAATAATTTGTTTCAGAAATTACTATGAGATGACAGCTGACCAAAAAAAAATGGGAAATGTAGGAAAGCGTATACCTACATATACCTTGTTTTGGAGAGATAATACAAACAACCAGCAGTGTCATGATCACTCCATAGAGAATTACCTCATTCCTTGGTAATTAGGAAAACATACTCTATAGTAATTTATTACCTAACATGAAAATTTAGGATTTAAAGTCAGGTCACTTTTCCTTCTGCCTTATGTGTTTCACAAGTAAGAAAAATGTGCATTACAGTAGGATAAAATCTGAAAGCTCTTATTGTGACTGTGCAAAATGTTTGTCCTATGTCACTCATTCTCACCATTTTGGAATAGTGAAGCTCAGCTTATAGTATTTATTAAGAATGTTCTTAAGATTAAAAATTTGGAAATGTTATTAAAAATAAAATAATATTCAACTTTTGAAACCATAATGAGTTAACACTAGTCTACAAAAAAGAGAAATAACTGACAAGTTCATAGGATTGTAAACATCGTAATGATTTGATCCGTTTGTTCTGCAGTGATGTGAGACAATGAAGACTTAACTGAATTGACATATAATTGCTGTTTTTATTTGTATTAATTTTTAGGGAAATAGGGGATCAGTGGCATTTGGCAATTCAAGAAGCAATTTTAGAAAAATGCAATGATAATGATGGCATTGTTCACATTGCAGTAGACAAAAATTCACGTGAGGTAAATTAATTTCTAGTACTGAATTCTGTGTTTTGAATTTATTACTATTAAACTAAAGCTATTCCTTTCATTTTTTTGTGTTACAGGGTTGTGTGTATGTTAAATGTCTGTCTCCAGAATATGCGGGAAAGGCTTTTAAGGCTTTACATGGCTCTTGGTTTGATGGTAAGCTATTTGAGTAATACAGATGTCTTGAAAAGATAATTATAGTTTAGTATAGGTTTTAAATTGAAGAATTTGAAGTGTTTTTCAAATAATCTTGGATGATTTTTTTTGTTTTGCAGTTATACTTATCACAGTTAATTTTCTACAAGTTGATTAAACTTTTTACGGATTTAAAAATATTATTTTTATCTTACAACAGGAAAACTGGTTACAGTAAAATATTTACGACTAGATAGATACCATCATCGCTTTCCCCAAGCTCTTACTTGCAACACTCCCTTGAAGCCATCAAACAAACATATGAACTCTATGTCTCATCTTCGCCTTCGGACTGGCTTAACCAATTCTCAAGGAAGTTCCTGAAAAGACATTCTTCACTCCTAGGATTGTTATTTACAATAGGAAAATTCCTGTTTGGCTACTTGTCTTCCTTTCTAAATGTTTTTGTATGTAATATTTTTATTGCTAAGTACAGCTCTGAGAGTTCCAGAAATCTTAAGGTTCCAAAGGGATTTAACAATAAGGCAGCAATACTAAGTAGTTTGAATAATTACTTCATTCAGTTTTTGGAGCTCAATTAAAAAAGTGCATTTAAAGTTTTGCATGAGGAACACTGACTTTATACACATTTTCAGATATTGTGGTTATATTTTTGCACGAAGAAGTGCTTGGATAACCACACAAAAGCATGGTGAAGAGACTTCTTGTATTTCCATAATTTCTTGTGAGTTAATGTGAATTTTTATATACAGTCACCTGCATAGGTCCTTACAGGCTAATGTGGTAAAACTGTTAATTGCCAATTTAACCTTAGGTTTCTGTTGCTTATAAGAGATTCATTTGCTACAGCTGGAATATGGGAAAATTTATTTGATTTTAATGGTCGCATATATATGTAAGTGGATGTACATGTACTTAAACTGGCTTTTGTATATATGTATAAATGCTGGTTGTGGTGAAAGTAGTCTTGTTATGTGAGGATGTCTGCATAAGCAGTAAAATAAGCTTTCTATTTTATTCATAATTTGTATATATATGTATATGTGTATATATATGAATATGTGTATATTATGTGTATACACATAAATATACACATATACATATAACTATACTATTATATAGATTAAACAATTGAACACCTGGAAGTATTAGATAAAACTTAAAATATCTTTTATAGATTTTTTATATTAAAACACCTTACTGATTTTGTGTGAAGTTCTGACACCAGTTGTAGATTCAAATTTATGTGAGCAATAAAGAAACAATCGGCAGATATTGGAAAATATTTTGTGAAAGGCTGTATTTATTAATATTAGGGCTATGATATAGTGCTATTGGGATTAAGTCATTTGCCCATTCTATTTATGATTTAATGATATATTAGCACCCTGTTACATGTCAATTTTAAAGCAGGGCACATTGTTGCAGCAAAGTATGTTAGACAAATTATACTTGTAATTTTGGGTCATGAACGTTCAATACGGTAAATGCACAAATGACCATTGGTTTGTGCTTCACTATTGAGTTTTTTTCAATAAAGTTATTTTATTACTCTTTGATTTCAGATTAAAATAGTTACTGAGCAGGGTTTACTTGTTATTTTAAACAACTGGGTTTTTAAAGAAATAACCAGTCAGTATATCATTGTCAGTTCAAATGAATATGTGAAACAGCTGGAATTGTACCAATTTTGATTTTGTTTAAACTTTAGTTGCCTTTTTGTTTTATTGTATATGTTGGGTTTGCAGCATGAACTTGCACAGATACTGCACGTTTTCTGGTTAATTAAACATGATGCACACTATTCTCTAACAGAAAACCCTATTGTGCCTTACCTATGTGCTTTTGTGGGCACCATGTTTATGAAGAATAAAAAATGATTTGTTATCTGAAGAAAATAAATTTTAAATTCTCAGTTTATGTCTCATGCTAAAGTGTGAAAATATAAATATATATAATATATAGAGTAACCAATCTTTCTGTATTTTATGTGCATCATAGTGATTTATCTGAGCATAGTGATCCCACCTTGTAACCTATTGCAAGATTGAATGTAAAAAATAGTTGTGACATTTTAACAGGTCGCCTTTTGATGCAGATGCATCTTCTTCTTGCTTCTGAAACATATTTCGTGTAAACATTGTACATTTATTATTGTAAAATATAGTATGATGCAGCTTATTTTACCTGAAATTGTTAAGCCGACCAAGATTCCTCCCTGCAAGATGGAAGGGAATGTGTATAATAATTAGATATCTGAGAAGTTCTGAAGTTTGATGTAATCTGTTACTTGTCCTGTTTAAAAAAAAAACATTCTAATTAAAAATTTATTAGGTTTTTTAAATGTGTCTTTGCCTCTAAAATTTTTGGATACTGATGTGTGTGTATGTGTGAATGTCCTGTCTGCCTTGCTGGCTGACCTGCTGCCTGCCTGCCTGTTTTCCTTCTTGCTTGCTTTCCAGCTGGCTTGCTGGCTCCTGCCTTTGCATCCCATCTCCCCCTTTCTCCTTCTCCTTCTCCTGCCCCTTTCCCATCTCCTTCGACTTCTGTGTGAAAGTAGGTACCTTTATTTTAGATCAGTTTCATTTGGAGATTTACAAGTGCATGTGTGTGCTTAAAAAGATGACCTAAAGTTAGATTTAAAACACCTAAAGAATGTTTTAATTCCATTTTCAGCTATTTGGATCAAAGAGGGGCAAGAATATAAATCAGCTGCAGCTCCATTACTAAGCACTATTGAGCTCAACTAACACACTTAAAAAACTTTAAACATTCTGACTCAAACTCTGTCTCATAAAACAGTAAAAACAGTTCTTAAGTTAGCTACTTGAAAAACATTAGTTTTGATTTTTGGTATTTTAATCAAGTAAAAAGGCATGATTCATTATTCATGTAGACTTAGTTGTTAACAAATATTGGCAAATGTTAGTATGTATGGGTATGCAAAGATGAAAAACATGTATCTTAGAACACAGGGCAATAAAATAGGAATTGTGGAAGTAGAGAATATCTAATATGTAATAGAGAATATGTCAGGACAAGCTAACAGCTAAACCATATTTTAATTCATTTTTACATCTATTAAGCAACTCAATTAGTATATAATTGATAAAAGTCTCGAATTCTTAACTTTAGTTCTTGTAACAAGATGATAAAGGTAAATGTGTGAATGCTGTCTCATTATAAAACCTATATTCTTGATGGAATGTAGATTCCTGACTAGCTTGTGACTATTGAAATCTGTTATTGTAGTCTTGTATTTTTCTTTTCATTGTACTCACAATTTGAATGATAAGATTTCTAAGTGAGCAGTGTTTGGATGTGTGATGTGTTCAGACCATCGCTTTTGGTAAGATCAGCCTGGCAGTTCTCATTCCCTGCTCTTTGTGATACCAACATATTGTAGATCAACTATGGCTTCTTCTCCCTTTTTCTAGACCTATCATAGCAAGTGATTTTCAGATGGCTTATCAGAAGATCTAATTCAAATCTGGCTATCTTTTGAGAAGAATGCTCAAGAACAGGTACATAAGAACTGAAATAAGCTTGACGGGGAGAACATGGCGGATAGATAATAGCTTAGAATCCAGTAATGTAGTGTAGTGTGGAGAGTTCTAAGCAGGGGGTGATATTCCCTGGAACCCAGGAACAAACTAAGCTGAGAGAAACCAACTGGAAATGCAATCCTGGTGCTATGACTGGAACAGATAAAATCTCAGTGCTGAAGCTGGAACCCGCGCCTCGGGAAACCGCGATTTGAATTTCTTGCCGCCGGTGCTGCATCTCAATCACCACAGCAGGGATAGAGACACGAAAGCTCTGAGATTGTGAATCGGCAAACTGAGTTGAGAGCAGAACTGGCTGGGAGCCCTGCATCGACCTGTGGTAAGTGAGAGGAACGGGGACCCCTCCATAGATGAGGCTCCGACAGAGGACATTCTGGGACTGGGCAGACTAGCTGGAGGATTGGTGGGGAGCACTTGATCTGGGTGATGCCGTGGACTAGGACCCAGTAGGCTAGCCCAAACCAGATCCCTGCACCTGGTGGTGCACCCCAGCAGTGAAGCTTTCAGTAGGTTGACCTGGAGGGGCAGGCCCAGCAGAGGCTGCCCAGGTCTGTGTCTCCCTAGTACACTGCAGTGGGTGGGAACACCTAGCTGGTGCAATTCAAACAAACTGTAACCCACAAAGAAAGAAACTGGGCCTCCAATATATGCCTGTATGGAAGGAACAAAAAATATGAGAAGAGGCAACAAGAAAGGGTCTTCAGTTCCCAATCCTGAGAACACTGATCCAGGAAAGGTAAATGTAAAGGAGAATGAGGACAGAAAACATGCAATATCAGACACAGCACCAACAGACATAAAGCGATATCTCCGGAGCCTCATAGATGAGTTCAAAAGTGAAGTATTTAACAAAGTAAAGCAAGATAGGATAGTTAGAGAAATGCTAAGCACCACCCAAGAAAAAACATGGTGGAATGGAAGAACAGAAAAAAAGGGGAGAATTGTTTGATGGAGAAAATAGAGAAAACATAGAATACATGAGCAGGTTCAAAGAGATTCCCAGGAAACTAAAAACTCTATTGAAAGCTGGCATATCAGCTTGAAAGAAACTAAGGATAGATTATCTGAACTGGAGGACAGATTTGTAGTGTGGGAGCATGAAATGAAAAACTTCTTAAAAATAAAAAGGAAACAAACAGCAATAATACAAAGGCTAGAAGATAATAAGAGGATCTATAACTTAAGAATTAAGAATGTAAAGGAAGAAGTAGGGACACAAATAGATGAGCTACAAAGGCTATTCACAGAAATAATCCAGGAGAATTTCCCTAATTTAGCAAAAGGTAAAGATACTCAGATGTATGAGGCATACAGGACCCCAGCCACCTACAACCCAAGCAGAACTACAGCCAGGCATATAATAAAATTCCAACAATCCAATATTAGAATAGAATATTAAAAGCCGTCAGAGAAAAGAAACAGATCACTTACAAGGGAACACCCATCAGAATTACAGCAGACTTCTCAGCACAAACCGTCAAATCACAAAGAGCCCTGTGGGGCAAAATAATTCAAGCTTTGAAAGATAACCTCCAGCCAAGATTGATATATCCTGCACAACACTCCCTAGAAATTAATGGAGAAACAAGGTGTTTCCAGGATAAAGAGGAACTTAGGGAATTTGCAACCACCAACTCAACTCTACAGAGAATACTATAGGACATTCTAAAAGAGAAAAACAAGATTCCAAAAACAGTAACAGGCCACAATGAATGGAGCAGAAAGCTAAATGAAGAAGACAAACTGACAACTAATGACAGAAAAAGAGCTCAACAGAAATGAGGTAGAGAAAGTTGGATATAATTTCTAATATAGATGGCCTAGATACCCTAACTTCAGGGAAAAAATAGAGAATAGCAGGCAGAGTGGATCAAGAGATTGGGTCCACCGAGAGGCTCTTTATAGGAAATATAATTAGCCTGAAGAAGGTTATATGGGCCAAAATCAAGCATGAGAAAATGGAACTCAATATGATAGGGAACCAGAGAGTAATAGCGGTAACTAGACCAGTATATACGGATAGGTTGAACAGACAGGCTTTAAGAAATGAGGAAATATAACTAGAAATCCAGCCCAGGAGTGAGAAAGTTCAGAAACACTTAAGTAAATAGCAGGTTGCCCACACACACCAATACAAAACCGTGAGTGTTGGGGAAACCCAAAAATACACAGTTCATTCTGGGGGAGTTAAAGGGAGGAATAGTCCTTAAAAAAAAAAAAAAAAACAGCAGAAGCTATAGCTAATAGTGTATCAGGAATTAAAACCCCTATTACTCCTACCACTCTGCTTGGTTGGAACTCGTTCTGTCCTAGTTTGTATACAAGCATTGGATCTGAAGGGCACAGACAGCTGTCCATAGCCTAGGGGACATCTTTAATTCCCTATTAACTCAATCAGCATCCATGTATGATTTATACTGTTATATCATGACTGATCTTAGTTAAATCTGACTTGTTTGATTGCTGCTTATTATTGACAGATTTTATTCAAAACCTGTAAGTTTGATGGCAACAAATTGAGTACAGACAACTCTACTGAAAATGGCAATGATTCACTATGATCTCCATTCTGATTTGATTACTACCTGTTTTTGTAGCTCAGCACTATCTATGAAGTTGTATTTCTGTTAATCCTGTTATGTACTGATATGCTCAATTATACTTTATCTGATGATATAGCAAATTCTTTAGATAACAAGAAACAGCACAGTGACCAGGATAGAACTCTTTATACAGCGGATTTATGTCTTTTTAGTTGTATATGTCAAAAAAGTTTAGTTCTGTCCTGCTTTGTTATGTTTTTCCCTCTAACATAGAAAGGATAGAAATACATGTTAAGACTCAAGCTTACGTAAAACCTATAAACAGTTTATGAACACTGATCTGATGACACATGATGAAATGAACAAAAACTTTGAAAGAAAGAAAGTGGCACTGCAGTACCCAATCCTGACCCCGGAGTGTTGTGATGTGAAATCCAGCAATATTATTAATCTTTGTTCAGAAGGATTTTAATCTAATATGCTCTGTTAGTTCTCAACATAAATGAAGATATGGATAAACGCGTACATCTAAGTGTACAGGATTGATAGCCATAATACTTAGTTTTTGTTGGATAGTTGAACAGAACTGTTTGCAGTCTCCCTGGTTGAAATTCCATTTATACGTCCCACTTGTGTACCTTGAACAACTATTTATAGGGGGACAATATGTATACATCAGCTAGTAATTTATTACTATTTTCTTTGAAAGTATGTACTATTTTTGCCCGTTTTCTATCTTGTTTTGTCTTTCTTTAAATAAAAAAAAAGAACTGAGAATAAGTAGAAACCAGAAGTTATTTAAAAGAACTGAATGCCCAAGGTTGCCGATTCTTTTGCCCTTTAAGCCCCATTGAGAGAATTTTATCGCTCAAAAGATTTCTGTGCCTGAGAACTTCTACTAAGGATAGAAGAATAAACTTATTTTGCTGACTCCTGGATTTTAAAACCACATGAATATGTATTTAAGACTAACTTTTTCTTCCCTGAGTAGATATTAGAGATCTGCACACAGTCCTGATGTTGGAAATAGGGCAATCTAGGCATAAAGAGCACAGAATATAAGCTGGTTAGAAACAACCCACTGCATGTATAAACTATCAGTAATTTCTTAAGGCTGAATCACTAAGTTCAAGGCAGTCACTAGAAGGAGGAAAGACAGGCAGTGGTCACAGCATGAAGTCTTGTTAGTTTACATTATGAAGTTTGGATGTTGGTGTTAAAAGAGTGTAGGTAAG